AACATAGCCCCAATAATTCAAAGGCTTTCTTAAATTTCGCCATCAATCTCGGTACAGCCTCGGGGTCACTCTTATAATTAAACTTGAGAAATTTCCACTTGATTAGTCATTCTACCAATTGATACCCTTGCCTATTGGCTACTATTTGCACCTGGCCTAACTGGCATGATTCCCATTCATAGCAACAATTGCTGTAGCCTCAGTAACTCGGGCAAAAACGGCGCTCCTTTCCTCAACTTGCCTGCCCATACATTCCCTAATTCTTATAGGGTCTGGGTCGCAACCTCTAATCTTAAGTCTCGGCCTCATGGCCCACAGTACTCGACTGCTCTTGGGTTTCCTTACCCCTTATACTGCCATTCTCGCAATCTCACTGTCACACTTGCTGCCTCACTAATCAGCTATCTGCTACAATTCCCCTAAAGGATCAGAGACTTAAACCAATCTAACCGGTCTACGGTCCTAGGTAGGTATCAAAATAGTAGTCAAGCAATCAGCATGCGACTTAGCACAAACAGCACAAGACCCCTATCAAAGAGGTACACTCACTCACCTCGAGTCTTGCCGCACCTGCATTTCACTGGTTCAATTAATCACTAAAACACTCAAACACAAGCAGTCCGGAGGTACACTTAGCACACAAAGTCACCTTACGGCTACCCATGGTCATCGCTCCTTATCACTCCAGGTTTCGATCTCATTGGATCAAGCTGACCTTGCTCTGATACCAATTCGGACGGGGTTGTCACGCCCCGTACCCCACGAAGCATGAGCATCCTGCTTATAGGTCGAAATAGTAGTGCGACGCTCCCAGGTTACGTCACCGACCCAAAACCCAACACAGAGATTACGTCACATGCGGAAGCACGATATATAAGTAAATATATATCACCCAGACAGAATTTACAGGGACCAAGGATAGCCGCACATAAACGATCACCAAATAAAAACAACTTTACTCTTTTATAAACATTTAGAAGCTTATACAGTATCCACTTACAAAGAGCCACAACAAAACGAGTCGCGGCCACAGACAACAAAAAGGATCAGTGGCCAGGGTACTAAGCTGAACTAAGATGGGCTTCAGTCAAAAAGATATAGCCCATACTAAAGTATAATACCTAATGTACATATTCCCTCTCCTACTGGATGAACCGACATGGTCTTCTCGATGAAGTGGGAAATCCCAAAACGCACGAGCGGCTCCGCCATCTTTACTGCCAGGGGTCTGAAATATCGGTTTTCCAACAACCGTGAGATAAAACTCAGCAAGTACAAAACCCCTAATCCTAAACTAGGCTAAAGTGTACCTCCAGACAGGTAATTCAAACATGCCAATTAATCAACCAGTAAAACACTATAATTATCTTGGGTTCACAGCCCAATACATTATCTCGAAGCCCTGCAGGTTAGGCGTTCAACAACAATAATACTTGCGTGCAATTATTCCGACCCGTAGGCCCGACCCGAAGGCCAACATTTGAATATAACGACCCGTAGGCCCGACCCGAAGGCCAACAATTGAATATAACGACCCGTAGGCCCGACCCGAAGGCCAACAATTGATAGAACGACCCGTAGGCCCGACTCGAAGGCCAACAATTGAATATAACGACCCGTAGGCCCGACCCGAAGGCCAACAATTGATAGAACGACCCGTAGGCCCGACCCGAAGGCCAACAGTTGAATATAACGACCCGTAGGCCCGACCCGAAGGCCAACAGTTGAATATAACGACCCGTAGGCCCGACCCGAAGGCCAACAGTTGAATATAACGACCCGTAGGCCCGACCCGAAGGCCAACCGTTGAATATAACGATCCCTAGGCCCGACCCGAAGGCCAACAGTTGAATATAACGACCCGTAGGCCCGACCCGAAGGCCAGCAATTGATAGAACGACCCGTAGGCCCGACCCGAAGGCCAACAATTGATACACTCGGGAATTCATGCCAACACTCAAACCAACATGCCAAATTCTATTATTTACCGAGCCCATGAATCTAACGCACTCTCGGCTTCATCAAGTCAACGAACTCAATGCATCCTTGGCACATTCAATATAATTCCACTTTGGTTCAACAAATCCCACATTCATTCGCGCATTCATTCCAAGGTAATTCAATGCGCTAAGGGCCCGCCTTGGGCAAATCCATCTCAATAGTTGTTCTTATCAACACGGGGCCACTTAATAGGCTTTAGACAAGTCCCAATCAATCCATAACATGACTAAATTTCCAGCCCTCAATCAATAAACCATTCAATGTTCAACTTGGATAAATTTCACAAATTCGGTACTGAATGAACAGTACCAGGGGAGGACACATTTTGTCCACTAAACCATAATTAAACACCCTCATTAAGCTCTAATCTCAAACCCCAATCACCCAACAACCAAATACACTTACTTAAGCTTCAAATAAGCCTAAATAATCCCCAAAATGTCCACTTCCAAGTCATTAGTACTTGAACTTAATTAGTGCCACACTTAGACAATTTTACACAATTTCGGAGCCCCATGAACAGTACCAGGAAAAATTCACATTTAGGTACTAAACCACCTTTAAACCATCTCATTAGGGCCTAATCACTTACCCTAAACATCCAACCACCAAATACACCTAATTAAGCCTCAAATGAGCCTAATTAACACCTTAATTATTTAATTCCAAGCCCTGAATCATTGAATTCAATTTGTGCAAAACTTAGACAAATATGCACATTTTCGGTACTTTGTGAACAGTACCAGAACAAGGGCTGTTTTGGGCCTTAATCCACCATTAAATCATCTCATTAGGCATTAATTAGGTCCCCTAATCACCCCACACAACATTAGACCTAAATAGACCATGATTAGGCTTAGTTAACCCCCTAATTACCCTCTAAAATGCACAATTAAACTAATTAAGGGTTTAGGGGTTTATACTCGCCTAATTCCGATTCGGGACGACGAGAACGGGCGGTCGATCACCGACACGCGGTAAAAATCGACGGCGGCGTTCCGGGGGCAAGCCGGCGGTCACGGCGGCGACGGCGGTGGCGATGTTACTCGGCTGAACAGAAAAGGGAAGAGAAAGGAAGGGTGAGGCGGTGCTGGTCAGCTGGGGCGACGGTGGTGGTCAAACGGCCAGCAGCTCCGGCGGTGTGGCTTGCTCCGGCGTGAACGATGGCCGGCGAGCGAAAAACGGAAGAGGAACGGAGGAGGAAGAACGGCATTCAAGGGGGACGGGACGAGAGAGAAAGGCGGCGTGAGTGATCGAAGAGAGAGAGAAAGGGCTGGTCAAAATGGGTCAAATTTGAGCTAGTGGATTCCACATGTCAAGATCCTATGCCTTTAGATACTTTTGCCCTTATCCAATGGTCATGATTCATACTCATCCAATAATTCAAGGGTAGAATGGTCATTTGCCCCTAACCAAAGGCTGACCAGACCTGGTTTAGCCTAATTAACCTTGGTTAATCCCCCAAATTTGTCCAATTTTCGGAATTAGCCAAAATGGCCCTAGGGCATTTTCGTAATTTTTCGATCCCGAATCGAAATTCCAATTTTTGTCCATACCGGTCCTATATATGCATGACCAGCATAATATGGTGTCGGATCCTTAAAAAAAATCATTCTTTAAGCCCTCGAAAATCAGTCCGGAAATTTTGAGGGGTAAAACCGTAAATTCTCATTTTTCTCCCACCAAACGGCGTCAGATTAATCCCGATCCTTCACGGAACTTTCTCGCCATAAAATACCGGTTCTAAAAACCCAACTTGTGTCCCGATCGGCCCATCACGACCCCATGAACGAAAGATCACAGCCACTGTTATTTTCTAATTTCTAATAATTAATGCCCGAATTAAATCCCAAGGCCCGCCATAAAATTTCCACTATCAATTCATACCATTCCGCACCTAACTTTATACAGATTTCGCCCAAAATCACCCGTTGATACCCGAAGTCCTAAATTGGGTTTAGAGCGCGACTTACTAAAATCAAACGAGCATTAACATACACTTCATTGGTCCCGGTAACGGGTCAAAATTCAGGATGTTACAAATTACAACAACTGGATTTTACATAAAAATTATATAAAAAAACTAGAAAAGGGGGAAAGTATGTAAATTTTGGACAATCACTTTAATTTGTAATTGAATTATTGAAGACAATTGAAAAATGGGTGAATTTAATAATGCAGAGTGGAAATAGCCCGCCGTCTTTATATAAAACCTCCATTTTGGAAAACCCTCTCTTCTTTCCCCTCTCCTTCACCTTACCTCTGGTGGGGTAACATGCAGCTTCACTCTCTTCCTCAGTCAATCTACCTCTCAGCTGATACCAGCAGCTCTCCTAAGCCTCTCGCAAGCCATCACCAAGATGAGGCCGCCTCAGAGAGGTAACTCTTCGCCGTGTCCCTTCTTGTTGCGACTGAGTGGGAAATGGAGGGAAAGAGGAGTTCAGCTTTGGGTGTTCGGTGCATGCCTTTCTTTTCTTGCCCTTTTGGTCCTGGTCTCACTTGAAAATCATGGGCATGGGTCAGTTCTTGAGCTTTTTTTAGCAACGGAGGATGATACTAAGTTTTGGTTGCGGTTTGCTGCTGTAGAAGTTTGTGGGATGCTGATACTGCTTGCGTTCTGTGATTCTTGGTAGTGGAAGAAAAGCGTGGGGTTATTGTCTTCTGCTCCGGGGATGAGCTGGGGTTGTCTTTTTTGAGATTTTACGTTGATTTACACTCGTGTGAGCCAGTTCCATGAGATAGTGTCTCAGCTGTTCGTGACTGATTTTGTGCTGCCGTCTCTGCTTTGTTTTGGCTTTCAATGTGCTATTTTTCACTCTACTTGGAGACCTTAAACGGGGTATTCGAGTGCTTATTTATTTTTTGACAAATGGTCTTGTTTGGTCATTTGCAGGTCATGGAGGCGGCGGTGGCGGATTTAGGGGGGGAAGGGGTGATGGAGGGAGAGGAAGAGGGAGAGGCGGTGGCGACAGAGGTGGTGCCATGAGAGGGCATGGTGGCGGATGCGGTGGCGGTGGCCGTGGTGGAACAGGATGTGGTGGTGGTAGAGGTGGAATGAAAGGTGGAAGCAGAGTTGCGGTTGAGCCTCATAGACATGAGGGGGTGTTCATTGCTAAGGGCAAAGAAGATGCTCTTGTTACAAAGAGTATGGTCCCTGGAGAGGCAGTCTACAATGAGAAGAGAATCTCTGTGCAGGTGATTATGTTTTTTTATTCATCTTGCTAGTGATTGCTAGGCATTTTGCACTGATTTAATCGGTTTTCAAATACTACAACTGATAAGCTCCCAATTCATCTCAAAATATAATTTCAAAAAAAATGGTGAACAACTTGCTTATCTAGGATCAACTGGTTTTTTAGACTTTTACTAATGGTTCTAAGAATGCTAATATTTTTTTGCTATCGATACTTATGCTACCCCAAATTTGATTATCAAAGGAGCATCTGGCTTGGAGTTGATTCTTTGATTTGTGTGAGGTTCCTTTTGCCAGGGCTATAAGTAAAGAGTTTTCTACTAGTAAACTTTGTTGGTACAAATGCAATTTTCTACTGTTTAGATCTTCCTGTTTTAGGAGCTTAATAATGTCGACCTCCCTTACATTCTTTGACTATCATTCTCATGTTAAATTTGAAAGCTTCTTTGTTTTGATTTCCCTAGAAATGTAACTAAGCTGTATTTCTTTGTGTTTATTCTCTTGTTAGAATGATGAAGATGGAAGTAAAGTGGAATATAGAGCGTGGAACCCCTTCCGATCAAAGTTGGCAGCTCCCATTCTTGGTGGGGTTGATGAGATATGGATTGTGAGCATCTCTCTTCCTTTTTCTCTGGTGTATTATAGATGCGTGGCTTCTTCCATATCACTGATCATGTTTCATTTTTTTCAAATTCAGAAACCTGGTGCTCGAGTTCTCTATCTGGGAGCTGCTTCTGGGACCACAGTATCTCATGTTTAAGATGTTGTTGGCCCTGTAGGTCATTTGTTTTGGAAGAATGATTCTTTTACCAAATGACTCAATTAGACGACTGACTTATTGTCTTGTTTTCCTTTTGGCAGACAGGAGTGGTGTATGCGGTCGAGTTTTTCACATCGCAGTGGAAGGGACTTAGTCAACATGGTGAAGAAGAGAACAAATGTTATTCCTATTATCGAAGATGCTAGACATCCAGCCAAGTACCGTATGTTGGTTGGAATGGTGGATGTAATATTTTCAGATGTTGCTCAGCCAGATCAGGTATTGACTTGTCTTTGCCTATGAAAGAAATTGAATATATTCTTGTGAAGGTCTTCCTTGCCAAAGTGTAGGTCCAGGGCTTCATCTTGCCTCTGGACCACCAAAAAGGAAATCCTATATAATGCATCCTACCTTCATTTCTGTTTGACTTACTGCGTGGTTTTGTTATATGCTCGTAGCAACTTATTGCTCTATTTGGATTTTTCTTCTTTTATGAAAATGCAGATTTATTACCTTTTGATTGTTTGGAAGCAGATTCCATGAATTGTCGACCTTTTTTTACCCTGATAACGCAAATCAATGTTTCTTTGCAGCCTTCATTTTTATTTACAATATTTTTATGATTAGTTTCATCTTTGTGGGAGTCATATTCATGCCATGGATTTTTTCTCCCTCATGTATCTGTGAGGCTTCGTTTTGTATGGCCGGGATGACTTGTTATTTGGGGATTAGCTTCTTGTTTGGTGATTTACCTTTTCTTATATATATCTATATAAACTCCTGTCACTACTGTTTTCTTCATTGCTATGTTAAGCGTAAACGTTTTGCCCCAGAACTGTGCTGTGTTTTTTGTTTTCACCAAGAGGGAAACTTATGCACATGAAGAATTTACTCGGATTGCCCTTCAAGACAGCATGGGTGATGCAAGCTCGAGTTTTCTGATGCATAACTGCTTGGCTCACTCCATAAACCTTTTTGTTTTCGTTAGTTCTAATTTGATTTACTTTGTGAGAGTTGAGAATATAGTTGAATCTTTTCTTCCTTTCCTTTTCGTTAAAGACAAGTTTTTCACATGCCTTCAGGCCGGCAAATTCCATGACTATTCCCTGTACTTGATTATTACAAAGCATTTGATGAAATACTCGGATTCCCCTTCAAGACAGTTTGGGTGATGCATTCTCGAGTTTCTGATGCAGGGTTTGTAGCTTTTCAAATTGTTTCTGTTGTACGAAGCTTAAGGATTTATGAAAATCAAGTTTGTCATTAAGGTAGTGTGCATGACAATATAGTATTACTATCAGCGAATACAATGTGCAGCTTCCCAAAATTTTTAGTCTGGTTAGGTCCTTATTCATTTAATTGTCCTTTTGACCAATTGCGGAGTTAGGTTACCATTTCGAACTTTGTCAATAAGGTTAACCTGCCCTCCAGATTATAGCATGGTCGTGTACATTATGTTGCCTTTACGGCTTTGGGCTAGGGGATCTTAATCTAATAATTACTCAAGCATATGCTCAATTATAAATTTGCATGTCTTGTCAGATTGCGCGGTCTCTTATTATTATTTTTGATCTATTGCGTGCAATGACTTGACTTATTATGAAGTGGGGTGTTGGATGCACGTGATGTCTCTCTGATCACCTGAAAGGTCTTTTGGTATGTACATATGATAAAAGTTGCTGTGATAATACTCGTGGAAGTCTCTCTGCATTTGACTGTTTTAGTGTTTATCAATTGAATACTGACTATTAAAACACTTGCATGACTTGTTGAAGCACTCATTACACTAGACTTAAGCTCTGGGTAATGAAGTGTGCTCATCGTACGTCAGAGGGAGAGAAACGCAAGGTCATTAGTCTGTTATTTGGATAACCTTTCTACCTGTTTAGAGTGCTTTACTAGAAGATGTCTCTCGTTAACATGTGATGTTCAATGATATGTGGTTACATCTCAGGCAAGAATTTTGGGTCTAAATGCATCATATTTTCTCAAGGCTGGAGGTCACTTTGTCATCTCAATTGAGGTATCTCTCTCTCTCTCTCTCTCTCTCTCTCTCTCTGTGGACAGATGCGAACTTGGTTTTTCTTTATTATTTTTCTTGAGATGTAGCTTGTTGGATTAGAGGACTGTTGGTCTCACTTGAATTTCTTTATCACTTTATAATTCCTTAAAAAGTAAGACAAGTAGCTGGTGCAAGTTCTTGCAAGCCTAGGAGATAAGCTGTGACATCAGAAATGATCTCATCATATCTGAGGGAGGTGAAAACCAATCCTCTTGAAAAAAAAAAAGTAGACTGGAAATGTTGCTTCAATGAGAAGAAACGGGTAATCAATTCCTTTTGGTTATGCTTGTTTTTGCAGGCAAACTGTATCGATTCTACTGTTCCTGTCGAGATAGTATTTTCCCAGGAAGTGAAGAAGCTGCAGGCGGAGCAGTTCAAGCCTTTTGAGCAAGTTACTCTCGAGCCCTTTGAGCAAGACCATGCTTGCGTTGTCGGTGGCTATCGCATGCCGAAGAAACAGAAAGCTGCCCCTGCATCATAAAAGGTCCCAGGTCGCCTTAGTTGTTGTTCAATCTCCTATCTTTTAGTCTCTCAGGATGCACTTGAATGCCAATCTTGATGTACGTCTTTATTAGATTGGAAGTTGGAACGCCAATGTATTCAAGGTTTTTGGTAGGCTCTTGAAATATTCTGAAATGAGTTCAGATTTTTTACCTTAAGGCCGGTAATTCAGTTGATATTTTTCCATGTCCAATTATCAACATCCAACTTTTTTTTTGGTTTGAACATGTTTTGTGTAAACCGTGTGAATAACAGATTATAATGGGATCAACGATAATTAATTTGAGGTCGTATAGAATGAAACACATGTACAAAATCCACTAAGTTTTCTCAAATTTTTATCTTTTGCATGAAAATAAGTTGTTTTCAGATGGCAAAAGGAAATTTTTACTGAAAAATGTCTAATAAAAAGACAATGCACTTAATTAAAAACTTTTAATTAGTGCCACACCAACGGCCCAGAGAGTTATAACAATCTCAATAGAGGCACTTCACAGCTCACTTAGGAGGTCGCTCTGATTCTGTGTTCACAAGAACAGTTTGGAACTTGCATTACATGTAAAAAGTAGTTGGTCTGCTTGGACAAATTGTTCACAGTTGCTGCAGTAGCGAAATCTTGCCCATGTACAAGAAATACGATTTCGACAGCCAGATAGGATTATTTGATTTGCTTCTCAAATTCCTGCTCTGCCCCTGACTCGTACATGAAAAGGTTTGCGAAAGAAGGAATGCATCGAGCCATCATCAAATTAAAATAGCTACTTGCAGTTCTTGCAGCAATTGGGCTGAAACCCGAGTTTTATTGAATAACAGACAAGGTTGAGTCCTCATTTTGAGCCGTGGCCGAGATCGGAGAACCGTTGCCTTCCCTAAATCTACTATACTAACATAGCATGTATCCCCTTTTTCTAGTGCTAAGCATGGAAGAGGAAAAACATCCTACTGAAATTGCAGAAACCGGCTCCAAGCATTCCTGAGTTCATATAACCTGGAAGAGAGATGTAGATTCATTTTTCAACAAAGCTGATAGTTTTAAGCATACTCCTAATAAAGCTACATAAATGTCCTTACTGCCAATGCATATGCCGAACATATTTAAGGGATGGAGGTTTATGATTGGCCTGTCAACTGCTTTGATCTCGAGAATTTCCTCATGCTGCCCTTAGAGTTGTAACAATGATTCTATGGGATGAATTCTGTATTTCTGTGATGTGCATTTATGTGATTCAGTTGGCAATTCATGTCTTTTTGATTCACACAAAACCAGAAAATTGAGGAATCGTGTGTGCATTTTTGAGTTTATTCACATGAGCAGGCACATGAATGGATGCTTATCGGTGCATATATGGCAATGATCTGGTCGTCCAAGGGAAAATAAAAAGCAGAAAAGTCATTATGATCTTGTATATTACCTATCCTTGTAAACCAGCTACATGAAGTTTATCCCTGATCAAATGCAACTGAGCTGCGACATCTGCGATGTTCATCCGCTCTCTGTGTGCTTAGACTGAGCAGGCGACCCCGATTCTATAGACCATCTCCAGACATTCGCAAGCTGCATTGCCTCGGCCGGTGCACATGTGGCTCTCCATTTCTTGAAGTAGAAGAGGATCGGTAATCTCTAGGAGTTTTTCAGTCAAGGCTTCCTTAACGAATTTATGAAGGTTAAAATTTTCTCGAAACCTTTCAGTTGTTGGACTCATGCCTGCGAACATCTCAAGCAAGAGAATGCCATAACTATAAACATCGCCTTCTCTTGAAACCACACTTTCCATTCCATATTCTGCGCTTCATTCGAATTGCAAATAAAAGATAAATAATTGCAGCACAAGCGGCTGAGGGAAAGGGAAATAGCACGCAAACACTTGGCAATCATTAGAATATAATTTGCCCGTTTTCCTCTAGGGGACAGAGGAGAGAAGACTCACCTGGAGCAGCATAGCCGACGGTTCCTCTAACAACAGCAGAACTCATTTTCGCTTTAGTGTCATCGGTGGATTCAATCATGATCTTCGCCAAACCAAAGTCTCCAATATGTCCAACCATTTCAGCATCTAGCAGGACGTTGCTTGGCTTCAGATCACAATGGATAACAGGCTTTGAAGGTGGTTATGGAGATAATCTAATGCTGAAGCAACATCGACAGAAATATTTATCCTTTGGATGAAACTCACTTTATGCGCATTCCCACCTACATTAGCTGATGATGGACTTGCATGTAGCCAATCTTCTAGGCTGCCATTGACCCTGAACTCATAAACCAAGGCCATAAACTCATTGCCCCTATAATCAGTGCCCGAGCATACCGTTAGGACTTTCAAAAGATTACGGTGTCGGATGTTCCTTAAAGCCTCACACTCGGTTATGAAGCTTTTCACAGCACCATGAAGTGTCAAATTAAGTATCTTCACAGCAATGGCAATTCCATTCTCATCAAGGACTCCCTTGTAAATGGATGCAAAACCGCCGACCCCGATCAAGTTACTTAAAGAAAACCCGTTGGTTGCTTTAAGGAGAGTCCCATAAGACAGATTCAATGATGAATCATCTTTGGAACTTGAAGCTGGTTCTGTTCTTTTCTTCTTCTTCAACCAACCATAGTACATAAGAGCAAGAACAAGAGCTATTCCAAAAACCCCGAAGAAAATCAAGATGGCGAGCTTCCACTTAGGGTTTAGTTCTCGACCTAAGTTTCTAGAGCTGCATTTGGGGAGATGAAATTTGGGCATTCCTGCACAAAGCTTGTCATTTCCGGAGACAAAAGTAGCGCTGATATTATTAAAGATTCCTTTAGTAGGTAATGTGCCTTCAAAGTTATTGTCCGACAAATTCAGGATCTCCAAGGAGTGAAGTGCCTCGAAAAACTCTGGAATCTGACCAGATAAATTGTTGTGTGGAAGATCTAGCTCCTTGACATTCCTCAACATGCTAATAGAGGTAGGAATGGAGCCTCAGAAAGAGTTCTCCTGCATTTTGAGCACTTCCATTCCAACACAACTGCCAAGAGTGGCCGGAATGTCGCCTTCTAACATGTTTCTAGGGACATCCAATTGATCCAAAAGCTTTAATTTCCCGACTTCCTTAGGTAGGACACCAGCGAGATGGTTCCGAGACAAGTTCAGAAGTATAGACAGTGATGAGAGACCTATGAACTATAGAGGTATAGTTCCATTTAAGTTGTTACTAGAAAGATCAAGCTCCACCAAATTTCGGCACTCCGATAGACGTGAAGGAATGTAGCAGTGAAAGTTATTGTGATCGAGATGGAGTCGTGCCAGGTTTACTAGGTTTCCTAATGAAGAAGGAATTGCTCCGGAAAACTCGTTATGCGATAAATCTAGTTCCACTAGGTTATGAAGATTTCCCAAAACTGAGGGGACTGTACCTGAAAACCTGTTGTGGTCGAAAAGCAACCTTCCCAAGTTGATGAGATTTCCGACTATTTTTGGAATCGTGCCAAACAGTAGATTCTTGGTCAGCAATAATTCCCGGAGAGTAACGGAGAAATTACCGTTGCACTTGGGCAATGTCCCGCCAAAACTGTTTTGATCTATGGACAAGTACAGTAGACTGGTGGTGTTAGTCAACGACCAAAAGAAGCTCAAATCACCGTATCCTCCGCTTCCCAGATAATTAGAATCGATGCGCAATATTTGGAGCTTGTTTAAGTGGTCCAAACGAGGCATGTTCGCTGACAGTTGGTTCTCATTGACTTGTAGCCACAACAAAGCTGTTGCATTAGACATTGACCGAGGAATCGCTCCAGTGAATCGGTTACCGGTGATGGTGAAAATCTCGATGTTTGGAAGAGTGAAGCCTATATTGGCGGGAATATTCCCTCCTATTTAGTTGTCACCGATGCTGAGCAGCTCCATGGAAGAAAGATTGAAGATAGATGGAGGAATTGTGGCAGACAACCTATTTAGTGATAATAGAAGCACTCTGAGTTTGGTTAGTTTTCCCAGAGCTTGGGGTATCTTCCCACCTAACTCATTCCAACGAAGACCGAGAATCTCTAACGATGACATGTTTCCGATGGATGAAGGAACAGTACCCGTTAGATAGTTGCCAGATAAAGCGAGATACTGAAGCTCCAGCAAAGAACCAACCTCAACGGGAATTTCTCCGACCAGTCGGTTGCCTCCTAGGCGAAGCGATGTAAGGCGAGCACAACGTGACAGGTTTCTTGGGATTTCGCCTTCCAATGTGTTGTGGGCTAATCGCAAGACACATAAACGGTGCAAATGGCCGACTTGTTGCGGGATTTCATGATGGAAACTATTGTTGTGGATCATCAGGACTCTCAAGGAGCTCAAGTTTCCAATGTGAGTGGAGATGGATCCCGAAAGTTTGAGGGCTTGTAGGTTGGGTTCAGTGACTCTGTGGTGTAGGCAACCGCACGTGACACCATGCCACTGACAGTGGTCCGTCGTATGGTTCCATGAATTCAGCACACCGAAAGGGTCCTCAGTTACCGCAGCCTTGAATGCAAGCAATGCGAGCTTGTCTGTCATGTTATTAGGTGAAGAGACTAGGCAAATGCACGGCAAAAGCACCACACGTGAAAAAGAAACGACATGACTATGAGAACTCAAGGAAAGACAACTTGAGAGGCATAGTACTTGAGGTGAAATCTTAATCGATAGCTAAATAATGCAAGAACGTTGGAAAAAAGGGATTTTTGGGAGCATGAACAGGTTTTGTTGTAATTTACATGTACATGCTATGATGGAATATATATATATACACACGAGGATCTGGGGATTATAAAGAGAAAAGAAATGAATAAAAGAGTAAAAGGACTTTATAAACGATTTTGAGTCTATACTCAATATAGAGTATGTAATATATATATTGAGAAATTCTTATGTATATATCAAATGAGTCTCTTGATCTTGCTATAGAACAAATAAATTCTAATATAAAAGTAATTAGTTCTACACAAAAGATTGTGATATAAATAAAATTAAATAAAAAAGCGAGCATTATAACTTATATAGAGACCATAAGCAACATATAGAATTAGAAGCAAGATTACTAAACCAACCATGTAGGTGGTTAAGATAAAAAGAAATTAAAAAGGAAAAACAGTAAGAAGAAGTAAGGATATATAACGAATGCAGTAAATTGCTTTAAAGTAAAAGACAGACCAACCACAGGCGATTCAATCAGCCAATTGTGAGGT